TTTCAGAGCTGCCTAAGTGGCGGTATCAGGATGTCAGAGACTGACAGTGATGATTATGCCGCAAGGAGAGGAAGACAGATGGGTTTGACATCGCAGAAGACTAACTCTCTAGTTTCATATGCTCAGTTTAATGCCAAAGGACAATCAATTTTAGCCAGGGCAATTAATTTATTTAAATCCAATTTGACAGTTTGGCTAAAATTTTTTTACTGGAGTCCTCTCCATAAGGAAAGGTGCCTGGAAAGGTACTATGCATTACACCAACACAGCTGGGCTCAGTAATTAGAACCACACAGTGCAGTATAATGCATGTGCCTTTAGAGGGCAAGTATTTAGCACTTTCAGCTTGATCCTCTACAGTACAAGTAGGGAATATCTCTTAGTTATACACACAAGAGATGAGGAGCTGGAGAGGGAGTTTGGGAGAATACCTCACTCACATATTAGAAAATGTAAGGCTAGGTAACTGCTCCTCTCTCTGCCTGGCTGCAGTGGCAAGAGAGCAGGGGTGAGGGTAAATTTATGGGATGTATGTAAATTTATGGGTTGTGGGATCAGGGCTTTTTGCTGGACCTAGGTCATGGAGGGATTTAAGCCAAAAAGGGCTACCTCACTGAAAGCCTCTGTTGCCTATTAGTTCCTCAAAGTAAACAGCAAACAGAAAGTCAGTCAATAGAAAACATCTTTGTAGCTACTTCCTCAGCTATAAAATCCTGTTTTCTATATGGGGTTGTATAACAGGCTTCAGGAGAGCCGTCTGGGAAGGCCGAGAATGGGATCACCCTTATGTTGGGGTGTTCCATAAGGAAATGCCCACAGGCTCTCCTCATTGTCTCAACAAGCTGCTTAAGGCAGTCTGCCCACTTTGCTTACACCACTGGGTGATCCTACATTACATTCCCCTTTTTTCAATTTTCCCCACTGGCTTCTTGTTCTCCTCCTCCTTCTTCACTGTCTTCTTCAAACTCATACTGATAAGACCCTTCATACTACAGTGCTAGTACTATATGTTATATATCATTAAGACTGAAAACAGCACTACAAGTCAGGGTGAGAAGGCATGGATCAGTAGCTATAGCTTAGTCCAGCTGCCCTTCCCAAAACAAGCATTCTTGCTCTGACACCACTCTGCCTATATTCTTCAGCGGAGGCACGGTGAATTCCCTGCGTGTGCGCTTCCTTACCTTTGAATCCATAGTTCGTCTAATGTTGTCTTATCAGAGTTTACTGGAGATGGCGATCCCTTATGAGATAAAACATTCAGAGGCTCTTTGACAGGCTCATTGCTTTTGAGTGAACCTGTGACATAAGAGAAAGCCAAGAGGGTGTTAAAACAGTCATTTTCTTAAGGGTCCTCTTTACTTTTACTGTAGGTAGTGGTTTGCTTACACCAAAGGCAACAGGAAGACCACAGACACAAAGATGGCTATATTTTAGCTTGGATTTTCAAACAAGATTGAAGTGTCATCAGCTTGCATAGTGCCAGATTGCACAGCCTTTGTCACAGCTGCAAATGCAACTGAGAAAAGGTGAAGGTAGATATACAATATCAGTCCTTAGGTAGCACTCTCGCCACTGCAAACTGGATCCCAACATTAGTGATTTTCAGTGCAATTCTTTAAGCAGAAAAGGTTTAGCTGTGTGTGCCTGTGCATGCCAATATTCAGTTTCCCAAGTCAGGGCTTCTTTACTGCTCTGCTTTCAGGCACACAGTAGATGTTCAGTTTACTGGATAAATCAAGGCTAGATTTGGGTGAGACAGGAGCTTTGCTTTTAATTGCGTCTCCAATTTCCCTCAGATAAACCTCTGATCCTTTCACAGGGAGCCAAAGTTGTATTATGTCCATGGCTTACTACTGCAGTACTTGGCAGGAGAGGATGCATCTCACTTTTCAAATGAAACCTCCTGTTGTTTGAGGTCTGTTGATAAATGGCCTTGTTTTTTATTAGAAATATTTTGGTCTAAGTCATAATTCTGTTTACATTTCAAACTGGTGACAGCACAGGCAGGTCAATGCTCTGACTGAAGCCGGTTTCTGACGCACCCTTTTAATCAATGCTATGGATTTTCAGAAGGAAAGGGTGAAATCCAGCCTTTTAAAACTCCCTAAAACAGTGCTAACAGCTTATAAAACACTAGTTTGAGTTACTCTCTTTGCCTTTTGAATAGCTTAAACATTTTATCCTTCTGTCAGAGGAGATTGCTTAAAAAACCAAACTTTTTCCAGTTAAAGGAAAGCATCTATTATGTTTTACAGCTCCTAGGCTGTAAGCCGAAGCTAGGCTGGTGCAAAGGGTGCCTATATAATAGCCTTTCTCTCTGCTGGATTTACATTCTTTTACATTATTTTTCTTCTCATTTCTTGACTCTTTATTTTTCCCATTTTGTATTCTACTCTGTATTTTCCCCTGCATTTTTCCCTTTCTTTCTTTCTTCTTCCCTTCCCCTCTCCTCCCCCTCCAGTCATTCCCTAAGCAGAATGAGAACAGGTTAACATTTGAGCTTGAGCCAGACTCTTGGATAGCTGCTGTTCAAATGGGTTTGAAGTCAAGATAAAAGAGCTCACCCATCCCTTGCTTCCATGCACGTCAGCAGATGCTGTCAGAAGAATTTCCGGCTACAAATGAGGCTGGTGTAGAAGCACCCGCTGTCCAGTTTCGGGGAGAGGGGATGGAATCAGTGGAGTAGAGGGAGAGGGTAGAAGAGCTGCTTACACAATCCTAGCTGAATTTAAAAGCTGTAGCTCTGAGCTGGACTTGCTACAGTCATACTGGAGAAAGAGCTATTGCTCCTAGCCCAGGTCCTGCTGTATGGACTGGAGAAAAGAAATGCTGTTCCCAGTGTGTCCTGCTGAACAATTGCAGATATGGAAGAAAAATCCCTGTTTGGAACAGATCCTGTTTAAGCAGTGGTAACACAGAGAGGGGGGGCGTGGGACAGAAGCGCAGGTCAGCTTCTGTGGATGCTCTAATGAGCTGCTAAGAGAGAAGCCCTTCTTTTAGCTTGTCCTTCTTCAATGACACTCACTAGACAGGGGGGATGTCCTCCTGTGCCGTTGTCCTGATGCCGTGATGCTGCAGATGTATGAAGAAGGTGAGTCCTTCTGTGCTGGTCTTGCTGCAGTGGCAGGAGCAGGTAACAGGGGAGAGGGCCTCCTCAGCAGTGGTCTGGACGCTGTGATGCTCGGGGAGCAGGAGAGAGGGTGAGTCTCTTCTCTGCTTGCTCTGCAGCAGCGCTCTGGGAAGGCGGTGAGAGGACGGCTCTGCTCTGGTCCTGCTGCTGCACTGGCAGGGTGGAGAGCAGCTCTGCTCTGGCATAGGCAACACTCAGTTTATCCACAAACCTCATTGACAACAGTAGCAGAATATTAAACAGGAGCTCTTTGCTCTGCTGCTGTCTGCTTGGAAACTTGGAGAAGGGAGGGAACTTTCCTTCTGTCCATGCCATAGGGTTGAATGGGCCTTTATACTGCTGAAATAGCGTGTCTCCCTTGGCGGGGCAGGCAGGAGACACCTATTTTCCTGGGGACATTTTCCAGACCTCCTTTATTTTGGGGTGGAGGATGTCTGTTCTTTGTTTTCTTAGAGAACTTTGTCTGCTTTCAGGGTCTGAAGCAGTGTGCTTTACTACTGCATAACAAAGCAATAGCTTTCAGTGGCTTGCATAGCACTCAAACATCAGGAGTAGCGTTGTATCATTTTGACTCATGCAGCTAGCCAAAGTTCAGAGTCCAGTGCATTGTTTCTGTTAGATTATAATCTGAACATAGGATAGGTATCTTCGCTGTGTTATAAAATTCAGTTTCTCTGAACATCTCGGAGATGAAGCAAAAGGCATTTTCTATGTTCACAGTTCCAGGTCTCTTTCATTTAGCGTCTAGATTAAAACCACTTCCATTTTTTTCTTGCAGCCCGGTTTCCAGTGCTTCTGAGTGTGTTGCAATAGCTTCTTTCCTGGCTCTCTCTTCAGCTTCTCATATCTTTATCTTGTTTCTTTCACAGACAGCTGCTCAGACAAGGTGCCAGCTCAGTGAAAGCCTGGCCTTGCAGTCATGCTCTGTACTGTTCATACTCAGAGAAAGCCAACTCGTTCCATTTCTACTGAAGCCATGGCTGAGCGCCTGTATGTTCTGGATGGTGTTCCTATTATTTCAGCCTCCTAGTTCAAAGGGAGCTTAGGTGGTTCTTACAGCTGTATTCAATGCAAGGTGGCAGCAACTGCATTTTCAGAGACATCTTGCTCCCTTCTCATAACGGTCCATTGCTATTTCCACAGGCTTGGTCCCTAAACTTACTGCTCTGTTTTTGCTGACTGTTTCCTCTATATGCTGTTCAGCTTGCCATACAGTTACTTGTATAGATCTCACCACTTTTGAATATGTCCTTTCTGTATGCTAAAGAAGTTCCTATTTCGCTGACAGCTTCATGTCTTTCCCTGTATAAATTATTTTTCTTTTAGAGACCAGAGGGGTGGCAGAGCAGAGTCCCACATTTGTTTAGATTCTCCGCCATGAAGCATGTTTAAACATTCAACCATTTTGCATTTCCAAGCTGAGCAAAGAAGGATGGCACCCCTCTGCCAGCTGTGCCATAGGGCAGGGGTGTTCTGTAATGTGCTGACCGCTGAGCCGCTTTCTACCCTCCCTGTCCCTTTTCTAATCTCATCAACTCCTATACTTCCTAATCTCACTGGAAAAGGAAGCATAATGCTGTTTGGGTCAGTACTCACCTGTAGCATGCCCCACGTGCATTGCCTCTCTCGAAGTCTTTCTTTTCTCTCTGCTCGGCAGCCTCATGGACCGGTAGTACCTGGAATTTCTTTGAATGGCAATGTAATGTGTGTGCGAGTCCCTCTCGTGGGTCACTGGGTTAGCACCTTCTGACTCTTCCTCACCTTCAGAGATTGAACCTGACTCTCTCAGTACCTGCTGAGAAAGCCCCTGCTGGAGCCCACCAGTGGAGAGCCTGTGGGCGGCTTCTCTCCCGTGCCCATCCATGGCTTCCAGATCTTGTCTCTATGGCAACTGAGACGAAGGATCAGCAGCAAAGCAGCAGAAGACAGGTAGCCTCCACAACTCCATCAGCTTTATCTGAATTAGAGCTGGAGACAGACAAACAAAACACAACAAAATAGGAAAAAAGAGGACAAAGTTCTGGTTAGTTCAGAGGCTGTAGTGCATCATCTGTTTAGGATAACGGGGACTTTCCAGGACGTTTTGTCTGAGATCATTCTGAGATCATCACCTTACAAGCCTTATTCTAATGTCCTGAACGTTGCTTTGACGTGCTCATGGTTGTCCTGCCATGAGACATTGTAGTGCTACAGATGCTACTGGAAAAATGTTGTATTTGCTGAGTTGATGACCACTCCCTTTTGCCACTTGTGAGCAGTAGATTACTAGTTGATTTAGAGTGGATACAGGTAATGGCCCTGCCCTTGTTTTTGAGGGTGAAAATGTTACGGAATAGAAAGTAAAAGCTGAAGAGAAAGCTCTGTTAATCTGTCTATTATCTGTGTACTTCTCCCTGTAATAGAAGAATTAATGCCTTTTACAGGACTGGGTGCCTTCTAACACTTATTAACAACACTCATTCCTGCGGTGCAGATAAGTGAAGAAAAATCCATAACTGTCAAGAAAAGAAGGTAGAAGAGACAAGATTATGTAGCAATGGAGAGCACAGAGACTTGATTTTGTTTCCCAGAGTTGCCCTCAAGTGCCAATGTACCCTCTCAGTGACGTGGGGACTTCAGCACAGGGGTTCCGCTGCTCTGTGTCGGTACATGGACTATGCCAGTACTCCCAAGCGTTTTTAGGAGGCAAATCACTGCAACAGCAAAACAGCAGTTGATCCTTCAGCCTTTGCAAGACTGGGTAAAATGTGAACTGATTACTTAAGTGTTCACTGCTGGCTTTGTCTTGTTGAATTCTTACAGCTGTCAAAGCCTTTCTAAGTACATGACGTGATTTTGTGACTGATGAGGCTATCATGAATAGTAGAAAGAGATGCTGTATAGGAAATGTGAATATAAAATTGACAGGTCGCTGAGAGAAGGGCGTAAAATAGTGCTATGGATTAGTCATTAGATGCTGCTTTGAGAAGTTATACGTATCACTGGTTTGTTAAATTACAGTATATCCAAGATACTCTAGAAGGTAAGTGTCTCAATTTTTGTTCTGGGTTTTCTGCAATCTCTATGAACCCATGTGTGCCACAAACCTTTTTCTTGCTTGCCCCCAGCGTCACTCCAGCTGACCCTGGGACATCAGGGACAGTTGGGACATCATCTGTGAATCCTCTGCTTTCCAAAATTTTTGAGGGCCCTATGTTTTAGCCTTATAAAGGGAGGGTCACTACCTGAAATCATGCGCTGGGCCTGAGTTGTTCTGCTTCCTCACTCTACAGATGAGAAAGTCTCCTTTCTCCTTTCATAACCTGAACCACAGCATGCAGCTCATACCTGCTAAATTTGGATCCTGACTTCAATTCTGCCAAGACTTTTGGACTGTTTGGAACCGGTGGTTGCTCTGGGACTGTTTCCAGTGTTACTGGAAGTGTATGAAGGACCCGTTTGTTGGTTGTGGTGTTAAGTTTGGTTTGTAAATTACTCTGAGGTATAGAGATTCACTAAGCCTGTTTCTGTTTCTGTGGCTCAGTGGAACAGCAAAATAAAAACAGCTGCTGTTGGAGACAGCTTGAAAAGAAAGAAGAGGCTGTTTCTTTTCCTGTGCCTTTCTTACTGTCCCATGACTAAAGCCCCAAAGGCTTGATCCTTGCAACTGTGACGGAAGCATTTCTGTTAACTGGACCACAATTAATATTACACCTATAATCTTTCCTAACCCTAAACTCTAACAACCACTTATTTTATATTTATTTCTCTTCTATAAACTGTTTTATGCCTTGCCGCTCGAGGAGATGAACCTGTAACAATCTCCTCTATATCAAAGTTCCTATGTGCTTCAAGTCGCCACCTCTTGTCCATGTTACTCAGACCAGGGCAGAGACCTGTCTCTCTTTTGTGGCCTTTGCAATGCCGACATAGTTTGCAATGCTTAGCAAATTGCTGCATGGCTAAGTGAAACTCACTCAGCTGGGTTGCCCAAAGACGTAACTATGTGTTCAGTAGCCCTATCAAACCAGTGTAGTTATCTTTGCCAGATACACTTTTTTTGGTCCATCAGCAGAATGAAGGGTGTCCATCCCGAACAGTTAGCTTGCTGTCAGGCTACCAAACAGTCCCTAACAAACAAGATGTTTGACCAGAAGTGACTATAGCAGTGGATGAGAGGAAGACTTCCATGTTTTCTAGGAGAGGCAAGGGTGAGGGGGCACTTGTTTATTGTGGTGGCTATAAACAATATATATTTTTTTACTTTGATCAATGAAGAGTTCAAGAACAGAATGTATTTCTGAATTCCAAAATTGATACTCTAAGAAATTATTGAGAAACCATTTACTGATATGTCAATCAAATAGTCCTGGCTTTTGCAGTTGCTTTAGGTGTATTAAAAACTAGGGATGAGTTTAAAGGATACATTCAAATTTAGTATTACATTATTCTGGTAGCAGTCAAGCTATTCAGTGACAGAGAATGAATGATTCAAGTAGGTGTGGACCATAACTATCCCTGTCTAAGTTTTTGTAGTGAATTTTTGAAGAACGTATTCACCTCTGATAGTCACAGGTAGTTGAGTGTCAGGTCTTGCGTCAGGAGTAACCCATCCCATGTATCCTGAGATCACGTCTTGCTGCAGCATCACCACCTACCTGAATGTGCTTTGCAGGCAAACATACTTCCCCGTAGTTCAAGAAGATCAAAGTAGCAGTCTGTAGGGAAAAAGAGAAAGACGACAACAGTAAAACCAGCAAGTGATGCACATACAGAAATACTAGAGATATGCATTTTGACTCACACATAATTCAGCCTCCAGGAATTTGACTGTATAGAAATTTTACTTGCCAATGTAAAAAAATGGCATTTACCATCAAATGCCATGAATTTGCTGTTGTACAAGAGCAACTGAACTTGAGGACATTAGGTAAAATTGTAAAAGGGACTGAGGTTCCTAGAGCAGTGTGGACCTGGACACGTGGATGTGTGTGGGAAACAGGGACCGCTGCTGCTTCTGGGAGGGTGGGACTGGATGTGTTTGCAAGGCATGGTCTGGCTGTGGATGCCAACAACTAACTGCTGGTCCCTACTGTACAAAGAGAGTGGGCTGATAGGGATTCAAAGGGTATCAGGTGTATCAAAAGAGCAACTCCGTTTAATCAGTTAGATCTAATAAAAGATAAGAATGTTTTTAGTAGCAGAAGCTGCAGCCTGAAAGTTGAGATTGCAGCTGCGTACACCTGCAGGTATTTCAAATGGATTTAGTCTGGGCAGAGTTTGGTCTGGGAGTCTGGAGCAGGAGGTTTATTCTAGCACCGGTTGATCATCTCTCTCTTTTTGCTCATCCTGCAACATGCCAGGCGGGCGCAGCTGCACAAGCCGCGGTAGAGGCAGACTGTGTGGTCTGTTGCTGGTGGCAGCCCCAGTGGGCACTGGCAGCAGAGGGAGCTGCCGGGGGCTGGCAGCCCCGGAAAGTCAGGCTGGCTGCCTCAGCTGTTGCTGAAACAGGAGGGGTGCAAGTGGTGCCTTAGCTGCTGGGAAGAGCCACTTCCCTTCCTCGCCAAACCTGCTGCTCCACATGCCCTGACCCCTCTCTCAGCAGCAGTTTTCCAGGGCTCCAGCGCAGCAGAGCAGGCAGCTGCATCATGGCTGCTTTGCTGCCCCTGGTAATTTGCCGCCCTGGGTAATGGGCTATTTTGTTATGCCTGGTGCTGGCCCTGAGCTGACAGCCTCTGCCTCTATGAGGATTTCTTCCGCACACTCCCTTCCACCGCCACGAGGCAATTGTTTGCATGGGACTTAGCTGGCTCCCTGCACTCAGCCTTCCCTGTGATAGAAGAGGTGCGGTAGGATGAGACTAGTGGTTCTGCTTGCTGGTGGATCCAGTGCTTCATTAACCACCTAATTCCCCTTTAAAATGGGGAAGCGTATTGTCTGACTGAAAAGTGTTAAGTACTGCAGTAAGTAAGTATATACTTATAGAATACTTAATGATTTTGAAATGAAAAATGCTCAATTTGCCAATGTTGTACAATGTTGTTGCCTACTTTGGAAGAGTTGCTTAATTGCTTAATTAATATTAGGCTGAAATCCCCAGCTATGCAACACAGGGATGTTTTGAAGCAGGAAATAACAGGTATGAATACAACTTGACTGTATGGTTGTTCTGTATAGGGACATACAGTCACGGAAGATGAATTGCCCTTGTCTGATTGTCTAATGTATCCCTACCACCACCAGGGAGAAGTTAACAGTATTGATATGCCTGAATGGCCACACAAAATATGCAAGGATTGTGTCCCACCAGAAGGCAGTCAGGTGCTTTAAGCACAGAGGGCAATGAACTCCTACACTGAGTTATCTAGCAGTGTGTTAGTTTTGCCATCAACTTAAATCCATCTATGACTGAATGCCCCTTTAAATTATGTATAGCTCAATGGAAAGTTTTGGGGATCAATGCAGAAATTACTGCCTTGGCTGTAGGGTTTTTATGCTGTAGAAGGGCAGAAGGTCATATAACCTTTTCTTCCTTTTTATGTGTTGAAGTTGTTTCAAGTATAAGCCCTATTAATGACTCATCTGGAAGGTTTTGCACACTGAATGTAGGGATGCACCTTTCATGTATATTTCATGAACCAGGTGGAGCTCTTTTAAGACAATATTTTGTCTTCAAGCCCTCATAGTTAACATGGCTCCTTTAATATTTCTTCTTTAAATACAATCTGAATGTACATGCAAACACCGATTTTGCTGCATATTATCAGTTTCTTTCTAAAATGCTTTAATTACTTTGAAAGTCTTGGGCAAACTGAAAACAAACCTCTGCCTCCCACCGCTATCTGTCTCCCATTACATCCCTGCTCATGTATTAGGCATCGATTTTTTTTCCCCCTCTTCCTTGGTTTTAAGTGGAGTGGAATGTCATCTCTAAACTATTTCACTGTGCATCATAATGAGGCGAAAACAGCTCTGTAGGGATAGGGCACAGTCCAAAATCCAGCAGCAGGCCTTACTCATCAGCTGCCGTTCTTGCTCACGTGGGTGCCAATCCCTTAAGGAGTGCCACGCGCGGGTGGGCCCCGCTGAAGGCACTGGGGCTCTACACAGGCTCAGGCCTGCATTTGCATCGGGAGATATTTCTGTCTGAGTCAGGGGAATAGTAACACCCACAGACTCAGCCCTAGGCTATGGCAGATTTAGCTCTCAGCAGATGTAGCTATGAATTCATTTAGCCTCATCAGTGGCTTAAGCTAATACACAGACTTTAAGCTGGTGTAAGTGAGGCACTCTCACGTGTCCTGTTGAGCCATCCCTGCTACAGGGGGACTAACTTCCAGCAGAAGGATGCACAGGCAGCTGGGCATGGTAACACCTTAACCTAAAGCCATCAGGGCCCTGAGCTGCCTGACTATACATATATTTATGTTTTCATTGTTACTGGTTGGGATAACCCTCCTTGGAACCATTAACAGTCCTGACCCTTTCTTTTAGATGGTGGCAAGAGACAGTTAAGCACGTGTCCCTGTCCAAAGCAAAGGTACATGACATTTCACAAAGGAATTTGAACTATTTAGGTGCAAGGCCAAGGTATTATTTGATTAAGGCACAGGGGTGGAGAAACCAGGAGGAGCATGAGAACAGACCAACCAGAAAGTGAGACACAGACCAAAGAGGTTCACAGAAGAAGCCAGAGAAAAATAGACAATACATTTGGGGCTGGCTGAAAGAATGTCAAATTGTTTGACCCCACGTTTCCAGAAAACAAACATTTTGTACTTATTTTGTAAATAAGATTGAATTCTATCACCAGTCCTAACAGAATCAAACTACAAGCACTCCAATTTTGAGATAGTCTTTCAGGTGAGAAAGGTAACAGAATGGTTTTATTGCCATGATTTAGTGATGGTACCTTATTTATAGCAAGCAAAGCCAAGAGAGAATTATGCAGTTCATTACACGTTTGTGACAATAAAACCTTTATGTCTTGCACATATGTTACAGAGAACCTGTTTTAGAAACACTTCAGAGACTAAAAATAAATACATTGGATTAGTTTAATATAGCCTCCGAAGCCATGTGCTTTGGAGACACCATGAGACCAAGCGAACAGGGCTTGGAGAGAGAAACCAATACATTTAAAACAGCTAAAAATTACTCAAATGGTCTTGCTAGGTACAAAAATGTTTCCAGAATTAAGTCTGGCATACCTTCTATGGGTAGAGGTAAGCATACACGTGTAAACATAGACACAAAATGAGTGTATCCTATAAATGGTTACTTACACATAACAGAAAAGGTTACATGCCTTCACACAATTCCCTCTGCATGAAACATGGAGTATTTATAGCAGCTACTCTGTGTTAATTAACCAATATATATCAATATATACTGAATGAATAACACTAAATAACTGCAATTTTTTCTGCTGCCAGGATGATTTATCTTTTTGACTGTTTACTGATTCTTTATGAGTCAAAAATAATGATTAAAAATATGTGCTTTCTTGTATACCACTAACAATTTTCATCTCTGCTCATGGATGTACTTGTTCAATCCATGTATCTCAGAGTGGTCCAGCCTTATCCCATTGCATTCCATGCTTCATCCCCTGGGTCTTGTGTAGTAGACGTACTACATAGCCCATAGCTACAGCTAAGATGTTAAAGAATTCTCCCTCTTGAGCTATTCTACATATGTGTATATGTACACACATATATGCATATATAAACACACACACACAGTCTCCAGCTATGTAGGGGGAGTTAACCTAATTTTTAAAGCATGCAGAAGAGCAGAAGTGGAAATCTACAAGCCCTTCTGGTTTTCATTATAAGCTCTTAAAACTAATTAAACAAAAACCTGACCTTATTTTTATTCCTTTCCTTAATTAGTGCACATGCAATGGTGAAAGTACATCCCTGCTTGAAGGTTTTGGGAGAATCTCGAGAAGTAAAAGGTATAAAACTCGTCCTGTTCCTCTGACATCACTGACATCTCTCTATACTAATAAGAACTCCTGCCTCTAGAGGAAGCCCCCTTTCCTTTTCCCTGCTGATTATGGAATGTTGTTGCCCCTGATGCCATCCCATTCCTTATTTCTGCTTAGAAGATACTAGTGAAATTGTTGCTAAGTAGCTGTGGTCTAAAACTCATGAGGTTTTCCAGGCTTATCCCTAGAAGGTAAGTGAATAATTAAAAAACAAATCACTGCATCTCCTATGCTGGGGGGAGTACACGACTATCAACTCAGGGCTAGGTGCAAATCACAGGACATAGCCTCAAAGCATGAGATACCAATGTGCTATGCAAGTTCACAAGAAGGGCCTCAGCAGCCTGCCTGGTGATCTCTCCTGTTTTACAGGATTGCACATGGGAGTTGTGAGTCCTTGTTCCTTTTTGTTTGTTATCTTCTGTTTGGACCATGTGAAGCCTTCTAGCCATGGAAAGAATATGCAACATAAAGCTTACACTTAAAAAATTAAAGGACTGAGAGTTTAGTCTCAGTGAAATGGTTTAGTCAAGAACACAGTACGAGAAATAATGTCCTGGGTATAATGCCTTGCTGAAAGCAGAGAAGTTTAGTAATGCCAGGATGCTTAGAAGAGGAGGTTAGCAGATGTCTTGGTTGAAGCTTTTCAAGACAGACTCGTTAGTAAGCAGACAGGCCCAGTGTTCCTGGGGCAGATAACACCTGTGCTGCTTTTGGGGAAAAATATAATGAGATCCACTTCTATTTCTAGATTTGCTGGTTGTGTATGAGACACTTATTATGGAAGAAATGAGCATGGGTGGTTATTTGAACTGCAGAGAGGTAAGAACTCAAAGGGATTTTTATTTGAAAGCTTCCATACAGAATCAGGGAAAGAAGAGGGCTGATTTTGTTGATTAAGGAATAGTAGAGCTCTCAGTTTTTCCTCCCTCAGTGGTTATTGGGTGGAGGGTCCAAGGAGTGCCTGTTTGGTGAATCTGCTTGCGAATTTGTAGCTGCAAGGGAGCCAGAAGTCAGTAAGACATCAGAATCCTGTTAGACTGGTTTCTACTGGTTTGAAATGCCAGGCAGGTTTGGAGTGCTGCTGTGCCAGGCTATCCTTGTCAACTGCATCAAGCTAATTTCAGCTAATTTCAAACCCGACATAAGCTGTTACTATTCTTATAGCCTGTTACACTGATTGCACGTGTCTTTAGTAACTCAGGAAAAATACTTGATAGACAACTCTGGAAACTGTGCAGCAAACAGAATCAGTCATGCAAATTTCCCCTCCAGAAGGGCTCTTTTTAGCCCCAGGGGAGGACCCTGGCAGGAAGGGAAGATTGCTGGACGGCTGCTCCCAATGCAGAGCAGTCTCTTCTGTCCTAGGGCTGAGGCACTAGCTCAGGGCTTAGGCAATCACATCCAGAAGCCCCCCCACACTTGCCTCCAGTTTGCCAGCTACACCACTAGACAGCGTTGCACTGTAGAAAAACAGGCACACTTGCAGTACTCTCTGGCTGCATGTGCATCCACAGTAAGTCTCCATTTTTTTGTCAAACAAGTGACATGGTCTCCTCAACTATAACTCTGTAGCTCACTTTACCCACATGCTGTGAAAATTGGTAAACCTTTTCCTTTCAGACCTTTCATTCTACCCTTCCTGTAACCCTCCTCTGTTAGCCTCCTCTTCATTCCCAGTTTTTAAGCACAGAAAGAGCAAGGCTGGGATGCGGGTAGTGAATCTCACAGCTGTGGCACTAAATCGGATCCTGTGAGAGCAGATTTCATTTCTCAGCTTTGCTGTGGTTCCCTGGGCAATCTTGAGCACATCAGGGATTTTCCCCATCTCTAGTCTGGGAGTGGTATACTATAGTTTATGAATACTCCTATATTTCTCCCATAGTCTTTTTTCTTCCGAGTTACTTGAGCAGGAACTCATTGTACGTACAAGAGCATGACATGAGTTAGCCTGACGGGTTCAAAAGAGCTCTGGACAATATTGTAATTAAAGAAAAAATGAACCAGTTTGGCTATTCTCTCTTTTTTGGTTCTTTTTCATTTGATATTTCCTACATTTCTGTCCCCAAGTGAAAAGCAGGCATTTTGTCTAGCTTTCTAGTTCCTCAGTGTCCCTGTTGCTCTTCCTAAGTTTTATTTGAGCTGGCTGCAATTTCTCCTAAGAAGGGGTCACTTTTTCAGGAATTGCTCCCTTTTGGACCAGCGAAGTCCAAGTCTTGAGGATAGAGTAACCTGCTAGACCTGTTTTTTTCATAGACATCTGTTTCAAAGATGATTTTGGCTAGGAAAGAGAAGGGAGGGAGAAGACAAGGTTTCTAGATTGTTTTAGGTTTTACAGAGTCTTGTCAGTTTTTCTAATTTGAGATCTAATGGGGCTGCTTCCATGGCGTGCTGCTTGGAAACATGAAATATTGCCTCCAGGCACTATTGTGGGAAAAATAATAATTCTATAGAAATCATAGAATAAGCTACTTTCAAAAGGAGAATTTGTGTGAAAACCCCAGGCATTGGCCACATACTCAGGGAGAGATAATGGTAATTATATAGTTAAAGCATTTTACATTGTCTTGCAAATGTCCTCTCCAAATTATGGCAGTGTGGGACAATGAGTTCTTTGTCTCTGGGCTCTTCTTTTCTGGCAATTACTGTGGTGTTTCACACATACTCCTGTATTTACAGTTGGTCTTAAAGTGTGTTGGATTTATCAGTCCCAATTTCTCCCAATTTCTGGAGAAAATCAGACCTGAATAAAATTTCTGTCCATCGCTTAAAATGAATGTCAGCCAATTAGTCCTTTTTGCAGGTTCAGTGAAACGTTTTACATTTTTTTTGTTATTTTAGTGCAATTTCCTACTTTCAGCTGAATGTGGAAGTGGCAGCTCCACTATAACGGTTGAATCTGTCGATAGTTTAATATCTCAAGAGCTAGCTTGTTCTTATGAAATTTGAGTTGCTGCTTACTTTGGTGCATTTAAAAATATACATAATTGCTGGGACAGTTCACAGCTACACTGGATACGCTGCAGTTGGTCTCCGTAGAGTGAAAGGAAAGATCAGCTAAGGGGAAGGATCAGCCTGGCGTTAGGAGGAAAACAGGCTGTTTTTCATATTTCCTGTCTTTATTTTATTTATATATTTTTTTAAAGCAAGATCACACATAAACATTTGCCAGGAAAAATCACAACTTGTCCTGCCCCTGGAAAAAGACACACTGGTTGGTTGGTTGGTTTTGGGGATGTTTGCTGTTTAGCTGGTCACATTAATGCCCGTTCTGTGCAGGCTGCGTCTCCTCTCTGACTACGCTTCCTCCCTGCGGTGGTTTTTATGCCTGTCAAACTGTGCCAATGGTGTCTCTCCTCTCTGTCAGCCAGTATTTCAACAGTGTCACGGCTGTGCTCTGTCTGGGTTGCACAGTACTCCTTCAGTGTGACTCCCCTTGTAAAGCAAAGTTGGTTCTTTCTTGGGCACTGGATTTGTGCCTTTGTTTGTGGCGTGAGGTTTCTTCCTCAGACTGTTCCTCTTCCAGCATCCCCCCAGAATAGGATTTTACTCACCTGGCAGGCTGCGGCTGAACCAGTCTCTCATTTGCCATCGGAATGAGATATGTCCAACAAGTCTGGACTAAACTCCCCCAAGTTGTTCGAGATTTGCAATTCAGTTGTGAATCCCGAGGCAGGTATGTCCTACAGAAGATTCCTGTCCTTCGGTCCTTGTTCCTTCTGTCAGTTCTGCTTGAGAGTGAAGTTTCCCTCAGACTTTGTTTGCTCAGTTTCCAGAGTCACAGCAAACATAATTTAAAGGAACAGCTTTCCCTTTACCCAGATAAGTTAGTACAAACATGCCCTGAATGTCCTTTGCACTGTTTGTGCCAAAGGCTTAATGACAGGGCATTGTTAAACCTCCCGTATAAATCTTTAACAACTGGTGAAACTTTGGTCCAAATCTGCAAACTCAAATAAGTGGAAACAGTAAAAGGTATTTGCTTACACTTTTAAGGCCCACTGGCTGAGAAACTGCTCTTGCTTTACATTATTTACAGCCATTTGAGATGAAAAGACCTAAATGTTTATGACTATTTTTAGGGTGTCTTTTTTTAATTTCATGTGTGTTCACATACCTGGGCACTGGGGTGGATATAGCAGAGGCAGCCTGGTTTTATTTTAAGGATTTTGTATCTGTTCATCCAAACGCCTGTTACAATTTTCATCCATGAAGTACTTCGATTTCTTATTCAGGTTGTGCTTACATTTGCTGTTCTTTCCACTAGGCTTGCTTGCTATTATTTGAATGTCCCTTTTCTGCAGGCAGCGTAGGGCCCGATGCTTCAAAGGAAGACAAATAAGCCTGTAATTCCTGTAGATACCTATGCACTGCTATACTTAAGAGAGAGGTTTTCCCTCATCCTTGGATAACTCACTTGGTATTTTTAAGCCTGTAGTTTGAATGACTCTTATAAAAAGCCTCATATCACCTGCTGAAGTTTATGCTAGTCTTTGCCTTGATTTTTTTCTTTTTGAAGTTCACTGAACTTGCCAAGTGCCTTGTTCATCTCAAAATATTTTAGTTGGCCACAACATCACCCTATTCCTTTTAAAATGCAGCTGTATGCCCAGCCTACTCTGTGGAAGGCCAAATGTTCATTGAGTAAAGCTTTGGTTAATATGAGGTCGGTCATCATAGCTTCATGGTCACCAGTGTCAGTGTCCCTTTACATCAGCTGAGGGCCTGGCCTAGGCATAGAGGGCTGTCAGCAATTAATCCTGTAATGATTAATCAAGGTCACCATCAGACCTGTGTACTCCTGGTCTGTGAGCTAGCAGGACACGGGAATGAGGGATGCACTGGAATTTGGGCTCCTCTCTGTCTCAAGAGTCACTCCATGGTGAATCTAGCTAGCCTTGTGCTTCAGACTTGCTTATCTGAGTGTCCCAGCACTGGCAGAGTACGTGATGCAAGGGACCCCAGTTTTCTTGCATTTTCCAGTCATTAAATTGCTCCAGTGACTCCTTCCCAGTGTTGCTATTTTGAGGGCTAAATAAATCCTGCTTCTACAATCCCCTTTCTGTATGTAAATCTCACCACCTCTCCCTTTGCTTCCCATAGATTGTGACATTCATTTTGTTACAAAAATAAAGTGTATTTATTTTTTTCTGTTCCAAATGGGCAAAGTAAATGGAAAAATGGTGTAATGTGTATCATAGGCAGGCTGTTTATTGGACGTTGTCTCTCACAGAGTAAGGAAGCTTCCCACAACTCACCGTGGAGTGTCAGAAGGATTACAGGTCTGCTATGGGGTGATGCTGTTGCCCTTTGGATTGAGGGAGTATTTTTTGGATTTTGCCCAATTCCTTCCATGAGGAGAGGAAATAAATCGTAAAAGGCTATTATTTAGAATCATAGAATAGTTTGGGTTGGAAGGGGCCTTTAAAGGTCATCTAGTCCAAGCCCCCTGCAATGAGCAGGGACATGATCAACTAGATCAGGTTGCTCAGAGCCCCGTCCAACCTGACCTTGAATGTTGCCAGGGATGGGGCATCTACAACCTCTCTAGGCAACCTGTTCCAGTGCTTCACCACCCTCAGCGTAAAAAATTTCTTCCTTCTATCTAGTCTGAATCTACCCTCTTTTAGTTTAAAGCCATTCCCCCTTGTCCTGTCACAACAGGCCCTGCTAAAAAGTTTGTCCCCATCTTTCTTATAAGCCCCCTTTAAGTATTGAAAGGCTGCAATAAGGTCTCCCCAAAGCCT